TGTGTATGTGTGTGTGTGTGTGTGTGTGTGTGTGTGCGTTTGTGTGTGTGTGTGCGTTTGTGTGTGTGTGTGCGTTTGTGTGTGTGTGTGCGTTTGTGCGTGTGTGTGTGTGTGCGTTTGTGTGTGTGTGTGTGTGCGTTTGTGTGTGTGTATGTGTGTGCGTCTTATTTTCTAAGAGGATTTTATGTGTTCTTTAAACCGAATACTGATATATCATTGTGGCAGCTGCTGTTTGCTAATTGCCATACGATCTTTACAGAAGCAAAATCGTTTGTGGAAAGACTGTTCCGTGTGATCAAAGAGCGCAGCTATATTGGACCAGTGACAAGTTCGGTTGCAACCGTTTCGGCAGTTCCTGCGAAAGAATCCGGGACGGCACATGAAAAGAAAAAGGATATTGATGAGCGGAGAGAGGTGAAGGAGAAAGAGAAGGAAAAGCGAGAGGATTTGAGGAAGAAGAGTATTAGTGCGAGCGACAAGGAGAAGGAGCAGCAGAAATTCGGGAAGGTTTGTTGTTACAAAAAACTATCAGAAAGTTGGGCCTGAACGTCAGATTCACTAGCAGAGGATGCAGCACTGCTCGAATTGAGAAATCGCGAGCTGAATAGGTTGGAGAGCGGCGCAGCTGATCAAAGTGCCTATGATTGAGAGGGGCTGAGCTTGTTGTCTTTAAAAAATTTAACGGATTCTGCTCCATTTCTGCACGCTTTCTGAAATGTTGCGCATGGGGCATGAAATAAGAGCACTGTTATGATATGCCGACAGTTTTTTATAGGTTCGGGATGAGCGAGAGACCGAGAAGATTGCTGTGGCAGCTGAGCCAGCGGCAGTGCAACCTCAGAAACCGGTGCGAAAAAGAATATCGCCGCCGCCTAATGTCTCTGCACGCGATGATTCGCGTCGTGATCACGCAGCACCCCGGTTAATTTGTTTTTTTTTTTCTTTTTTTTTTCTTTTTTTCGAAATAACTGGTGTTGGTGAGGGTATTGGCACGTTTTTTAACATAGGAAGGATTATCGAATTTTTTTATCCTTAAAGAGAGCCCGCTTAAATCCAGTAGGCGGTGAGTAGTAACAGAGAGATGCAGCTCGGGATCGAAAGGCCTATCATAGAATGGTGAAGCATTCGAGTAACATAACTAATTGTGATTCGCACATCGATTTGTTCGAGACGGTCTCGACACGGCCTAAGCGGGGAAATTGCTAACTAGTTGTGCCAGATGCTAGTCTTTTGCTTACAGGAGAGCTTAGCGAGAATTATTAGCATATTCGTTAACTTTCTTTTCGGGGAAGTTTCCGTAAGCATTGGTTCAAACAAACCATGCTTAATCTGCTTAATCGGACAAACATTAGGAAACGTTTAGGGTGATTATAAATTAGTAGCTTATAATTAATGAAGCATGCTTCCCGCATCAAATAGATTCACGTAACGTTGCGGTATTGTTGATTATTTAAACTTGGTTTTTGAAGGTTTGAAAGACGCCGTAGCCGATCACCACGTGATCGGCGACTGGAAAGACCTGATCGAAATCTAGATCGGCGTGTGCAGTTACCGCCCGCGCGACTACAGTATCGGCAGATGGATCGATACAAAAGTGAGCGTCCGGATCGGTTAGAACGCAAACGATCTCGTTCACCTTATGATAGACCGAGGTTCGATATTTGGTGTTATTTTCATTTCCTTGTTTATTTGCTTTTTCTTTGTCTTCTTGACAATATCTCCTCTGCGTCTACGTTTGAACGTACCGTTGCCCATTTTTGGTAAATGATCGCCCTGTCCTGGAGAAGTGCCGGCAGGCGCGGCATAACAGCTTGTACTGCTCCTCCCATGCAGAAAATCAAGAAGCCCGTTGCTGGGGAGTTAAAATCATCAATTTGTTGATACCATGCTTCGAAAAGGTGAAAGAAAAGATAAAGTTTTGATATTATCTTTAGGGGAAACAGGAGGCGGGGGGCAGGGAGGAGAGAAGGGTTATGTTTTTTTTTTCTGTATTTAGTGGATGCATTTCCGAGCTTCTTTTTGAAAGTTGTGCTGTTTTGACGGCGGATACAGTGGGATTTTAGGCGTGAAAAAAGCACCGAGCCGGAGATGCGGAAGAAGAAGCGTTGTCGCGATTACGATGAGAAAGGTTACTGCATGAAAGGGGACCAGTGCATGTTTGATCACGGACCGGACCCTGTGGTTGTAGATGATATTGCACTTGAGAAGATGGTCACTAATGGAGCGAAGCCGGCTGTAACTCATCTAACACCAAATTTCTCTGTGCCACCGCCCGGCTACACACCTCTGAATCCTCCACCACCCGGTGTTGACAGTGTCTACGCCACAAACTCTCGTACTGTAGCACCGGCGGCCAGCTTGTCCGAAGGTTCGTTCTATTTAATGCTTTCTTTCGTCCTTTTTTGGAACTTTATCTGATAAGTTGGATGTTACTGTTTACGCTCAGGTGAGAGGCATTGAAAGTCCCTTTGCACTGAAGGCTAAAAGGGAAAATTGAGTGAGGAGGCGCAAAATTTAGGAAAATGGGCAAAAAGTTTTGCAAAAATAGCCAGTTCAACTAATTCATTGCAAGATTTAGTTCCATGCAGCTGTTGTCTAAACGGCTATACAGTGCTACATCAAAGAGCGAAAGTTAGGCCAAAAACACCGAAAATTCCATATTCAAGCAAGATGTAGAAGTAGAAAAAAGAAAATACCATTTAGAAATGAGACTTTTCCCGTTCCTCTTTCTTACGACTTAGTTGCCATTTTCCTTCCTCGGAAGCTGGGCAATTCGAAAGTCGCACACCCGTGACTGCTGTTTATGCGAAAAGTTCAATTCCATTTCTTGTTTTGCAGGATATAATCCAGAAGCTCCGGCACTAAGTGCTCCTTCGTTACCACTGGTCGCAGCGCCAGCTGCAGCTCCTTCAATGGATTTCTCGGTTCCACCACCGCCACTTCCGACAGCTGTGCCTAATCAGGCCTGGAGACCAACAAACTACACTGTTCCTCCGGCGTCCTCGGTTCTCATTCATCCAACAACCAATGTATACGACCCAACGCAATCTGCAATCACTGCACCATCGCCCAATGTCACTCAGGTTTCTTTTTTTTTCACTATTCTAAAGTTGAAAATTTTAGGGAACGAATGCAGTTATGGCGCTTTTCCTTGTTTATCTGGTGGATTTTTCCACATAATTGTTGCGGGGCAATTAAAGCTAGTCGTCCTTGTGACCACTTAATTTGCACTCCTGGCATATAGTTTTTAAATTGCTTATTTTTTATGCGTTTTGTGCTGTGTAACAGCAGTACAAAGCGCATATTGTTACGGGGTTGTCTGTGT